TAAAAAGTAAATACAGTGAGCAAAGAACTGCTTTTTTTTTTTTTTTTTAAAGAATACCGAAAATTTCAGGTCCTGGGCACTTTTAAGACAGATGTTTTGCATTTGCATTTGTATCCCTCCTTAAGCATGTCTCTTGTAGGTACCACTGTATGGTCTAGTATCTCCCGGCATCCTGGTCACCATGTAGTGGTGAGGCAAATTCTTCCTCTACCCCAGCCCTCTGTAGATAGAGGTAATGTTGGACTGCTGTGAGCATATAGCCTCAAAGGATAGTTTTCGTAAGGCTTTATATTTTAATGTAAAATTCAGGATTTTATAAATTTTTTGATATGATTGAAAATCATATTATTCTTTTCAGAAATTATTCACAAATATGAGGCCACAGGAAGGGAAAAAAATCAGAACCCAATTCTGTTAGTGATACAATTTTAATACCTTTCATTCTTTTTTTTTTTTTTTAATTTGAGATAGGGTCTCACTTTGTAATTCAGGCCAGACTTGAACTCACTTTGTAGTCCAGGCTGGTCTCGAACTTGTGGCAATCCTCCTGCCTCAGCCTCCTGAGTGCTGGGATTACAGGTGTGAGCCACCATACTTGGCCTGTCCTTCATCCTTTTATGCTTCATCCCTCAGTTGAGATTATACTGACTATATAATGCAGTTGCCTTTTTCCTTAGTGTCATATCATGAATATCTTCCATTGCCCTTCCATTGAAAGCTTTTTATAAACCATGTAGTTCAAAGGAGGTGTGTACAGCTAGGCGGGAAAGATCATGGGTTGAGAGTCAGCTGTGTGTTTGAATCTTGGCTCTATTACTCATTGGCTCGGTGACGTTTGTCTTGGTATTTCCATCTGTAAAATGGAGGTATTAGTACCTACAGAGTAGTTAGGATCATTATATGACATAAACTAAACTCTTTAGAGCAGCTTCTGTCACAAGAGGTACCCTGTTTTTATTTTTTTTTAAGTACAGTGATATAACTAACCATTCTCTAGCAACTGAACATAGATGTTTTTTGTTTTTATATTGAAAGTAAAGCTATGATAGATGGCTTTGTGCATAAATTTTTGTGTCTTCATGATAGCTTTTTTCAAACCAGGCATTCAGAGGCAGTGACTTTGAATTTCCTAATACTGTACTATTGCCAGTCACTCTTCAGAAAGGATGTATTGATTTATAGTCCATCTTATGCATTTGTGAGACTGTTCTCCCAAGAGTGCTCTGACTTCTAACTTTTTCCATAGTTTGGTGAGGGAAATGGAAGGGCATTTAAAAAAAAAAAACAAAACACTTTCCCTTCCTTGTAAACATTTTTTCCTATGTTTAAGAACATTTCCTATTTCCTGTAGCCTTAACTCAAAGCCCACAATAGGAGCCTGTACATGCAGGGTGCTGTGTAGCTCTCCCTTGGATGCTGTGGGTTGCTTTGGTGGTAGTGATGGGCGGTGTATCCACAGAGATAGGCCTGCCGAAAGGTCACAATGGTGTTCAGTACCCCTGGTCCCAGGAGAATGGGAATGGTAAGGTAGTAATGGGGATTGGTGGCTGCTTAGAACATTCTTATCACTGCTTTCATTTTTACCACTGAGTAAACTGTGAGTAGAAATGAGACATACAGGTAGTAAAACATACTGAGAATGAATATGTAAATGTCTAGCTAATGTTCAGGAGTTTAAAACCATATATTCTTTTGTACAGGCCAAAGGAAAGAAACCTTTATTTGTACAGTTGATCTTGGAAAATATATGGAGTTTATATGATGCTGTCTTGAAGAAGTAAGCCTGTTGTAAAATTGTTTATCTTTTGGCAACTTTGGGCTGTATAATTTGCCTCACTTTGTGGTTTGATGAGTCATACTTCAGAAAGCTGAGATAGATGGAGTCTGTGAACAGAGCTTGTATATATCGGACTTGGGAGTAATTTAAACCCAAGGGAAGGGTGGGGGAGGAGGGACAATACCAGGATTTTATAGAGTGCTGAGGTGAAGATATAAAAAGATGGAAAAAACCTGGCCCTTTGTTTTTATAAACTACTTTTAAAAAGTAGTCATTAAGGTAGTAAAGGTGCTTGAAATCTAGAATCATTAATGGGGAACTTGGGAAATAACTTTTCCTGTTACAAGTGGAAAAGAAAGCTGGCGTTTTTACTTTCTCACTCCCAAGGTAGAATGATAACTTTTTTTTTGTAAAACACTTTACCAATTGGCATAGCTTCAGACGATTGTGGAATGGAGCTCTGGGAGAAGTTTTGAAGGAATTCATTTGGAAGTGTAAGCATGGAGTCTGGGGAGTCCACCTGTGGCAGGGTCCCTTCAGCCATCTTAGCGTCCCTGAAAGAGTAACATGGGTGTGTGTGTGTGTGAGAGTGAGAGTGTGATAACGTTAACTTTCTTTTCCTTACTACTCATGCTTATCTGTGTATGCCTTTTCCCCTCTCTAATCTTCACTACAGGGACAAAGAAAAAATTGAGAAAATAATGACTTCTTTAGGATTAAAGATTGGAGCTCGAGAGGCCCGGCATTCGGACCCTAAGGTTCAGATCAACGCCATTTGCAGCCAGTGGCTGCCCATCTCCCATGCTGTCCTTTGTATCCTTTTTTCTAATGGTTTATAGTGAAATGTTTCTCAGAATAAGGGGGAAAAGCAGTGTTCAATTAGGAACTAAGTAATACTCTGGAAATAACATTCCAATCCAAAGTAAGACTTCTCTGTTTATTTAGTATTCTACCATAGAACTGTGTCTCATATTTAAAAAATTAATATACTAATACTGATTAATCTTAATACTAATGAGTGTTCTTAAGACATTTTTGTTTAATAAACATAAAAATATTTGCACTAAGAAGTACATGTAGATAGACAATTTAGGTGCTTCTGTTAAATAACTGATTTTCTTTCAAGGTCACAGGTAGCCAGCTAGGCTCTTTCCCTCATGCGTTCCATGGGCCACCAGGGAGGGGATCTATCGTAAGAATCCTGTCTGAGAGCATCTTGAAGTTGTGTGTATGTTTTGACATGTGATTCATAAAACCACGGTGCCTCACAGCCCAGGTATTTTCTTTGTAGACCTCACATGCAGTGAGTCTTTGCCCTTGTGGAGGTTGCCAGCTCAGAGTGTTGGTCCTTAACAGCAGGCTTCAGCCATGGTGTGCCAGAAACTTCCCAGTCCCCTGGACATTGCATCTGAGAGAGTGGAGAAACTGATGTGCACAGGATCTCAAACATTTGACTCTCTTCCCCTGGAAACACAAGCCCTAAAAGGAGGTGAGGCAGGGATGACTATCTGAGCATGCACTACTCATTAATTCTTCACTCCAGACTGCTCTAGTCTGCTGAATGCAAGTCTTCAAAAAGGCCAATTTGCCATATGTTCACTTCCATAAATGACCATTTCATTGCTTTTCTCCCTCACTTCCCAAGTTTCACTTTCACTACAGCCATTTTGATGGGCAGTCAGAGACCTTGAGATTCTTTTCTGCTGCCCTGATCCTATTTTTTTTTTTTTTTTTGGTACCGGGAATTGAACTCGGGACCTTGCACTTGCGAAGAAACTGCGGAACCATTGAGCTAAATCCCTGGCATCCCCCTGGTCCCATTTCTTAATCATGCTTGATTCTGTACTCCCGAACAGCCAGGAATGTGTTCTCTGAGCTGTGGCTTCATGACCATACCCATGTCCCTAAGGACTGAGAAAAAGTGGTTCCAGGAACCATGCCACTCACAAGATCCCTGTGCACACTGTCCCTGTTTCCCTTTCTATTGATTTCGTAGCTCCTGTTCGTAGACCACTCCACTGCTGCTCATTATGGGGTCATCTTTGAGTCTTACTTTGCTAGATCTTGGGGCCGCTTATCTTCTTCTGACCAGACCCTTCACCAGCATTTGACACATTGGTGCCTTCCTCTTCCTTGGACTTCAGGCTTCCAGTTGCTTCTGCCTCCCTCCCTGTCTCTCTTGATCTCTTTTCCGGTGCTTAATCGTTAACTCTTCTGGTACTTCTCCATCTGACTTGTTAACTTTGGGATATCCTAAGCAGTACCGAGTCTTTGTGCTTCATTTCTTAACTACAGTCATGCTCCTGGTGGTCTCATAAAATCTTAAGTGACACTGATATGTTCATTGTTTCTCACATCTGTGCCTGTGGTCCACACCTGTTCTCTCAACTCCACACTTGGATGTTCAGTTGACACACTCCCTTCTCTATGCAATTGTCTGAGAAGCATCATAAACTTAAATTCCAAAGCTGTCTTTTTATTTTACCCCCAAGCCTGTTCCTCCTCATTCCTATCTCAGTTAGAGGAGACTCCATCCTTTCCTTTGCTCAGTCCCCAAACCTTGGAGTCAAATGTGGCTCTTACATTTATCTCACATGTCCACATCCAGGCTATCAGCAAATCCCACTTATTCTTCTATTGAAATACTGTGCATCCAGAATCCAACTGCTTCCCATAACTTCTCCTTCTGCCTCTCTAGGCCAACCAGCCACCATTTCTCACCTGGTTATCATAATAGCTTTCCAGCCAGTGTCTTTGCTTCTGCTCTGGATTCCCAGTAGGTAGTGTCTTCACTACCTGCAGCCAGGGGTCCGGTGCACATGTCATTCAGGGCACAAGTCCTGCATTACAAAGCTTCCACAGGTTTTGCTGGCAAGACTTAAATTCTTCCTGGAGTTTTTTTCTTCTTTGATTTTTTTTTTTCTGTTTGAGTTCTTATGTACAGATTATTTTGATATGGCGTGATGTTTAAAAATTACTAACCAGTGGTTTTATGCCTCAGGCATATCTTAAGTAATATGTCAATATGTTGATAGGAAATTGTGTTAAGTGTTATATTTTTAGAGAGAATTGACATTTTTATCTATAGTACTGAAGCTTAATTTCTTCTTTTTTGGTGTGGTATGAGGGATTGAACCACAGGGCTTTGTACATGCTAGACAAGCACTTCACTGCTAAATCAGCCCCTAAATCTTTGTAAGAATTTTTGTAAATACTGTACCACAATACATTATTTTTTCTATTTTTAAACTTATTTTTCTAAGGAATTGGAAAAGCTATTGAGTGTCATTTATTTAACAAACTACCTACTGACTAACCTTTGATAATAACCCTTAATTCTGCCCCTTCTCTGCTGGATATAAGTGCATGGTTGACCCCTATTCTATAGCTTCAGCTCTGCTATAAGAGCCCCTCCCACCAAGCCAACCCCTTCCCTGTCAGTTTTGCTTTTCTTTTGTCATTGTTGCCAACTCTTGATCTTGCTCTACTGTTCTGCTGGTCTTTCCAAGCAATCTTTCTGAATGGAATTTTGGCCATAGTTATAAAAAGTTATATATAGATGGTATTATATTCTAAACATCTTGATTGCTTTCTGGAAATTTTTGATTTTTTAATAACTGGAAGACAGTAGTGACATTTTTGCTTCCTGTTTGTTTAGCTTTTATGAAATGTGAAAGTGAAGATACTGCTCCAGTTATTATCTTTGTTTCCAAAATGTTTGCAGTTGATGCTAAGGCCTTGCCTCAGAATAAGCCAAGGTAAGGAGCAGGGGGAAGTTGGGCTGGGCGAGGGAAATGGGCTGTGTGTGTTGGGAGTAGTTGAGGTGTGGGTGGGAGGGCATACCTACTGCCTCTCCTCAACCCTGCATTTGACATCAGTCTAGTTCCTAGGGTAGCATACAGGATGTGCAGGTGTAGATCCTTTGTGATGCTCTGTAGGGGACAGCTATTGACATCAGCTGTGGGGTATAGACTTGAGCTGATAGAAATCTGAAGAGTAGTAGTAGTAGTAGCAGTGACAATGGTTACTGTTACCTTTATTGAGTATGTCAGGCAGGATATACTCTAAGCCTGCTTTGTCTCATCTAATTCTGTCTGCCTCAGTGGAGACTGTGAATGTGTGATCTCTGCTTCTCTCTGTATGATGCATATGTGAAGGTGGCAGGTGTGGAGATGGATTATTTCTCACATTCCTGAGTCTTGGAGAATCCATCCATTCTGTGTCATCTGTTTTTCATATGCGTCCCTTCTGTCCCTTTCTTCTGCCTCCTTGTGAGCTTGGTTCCTTATCCTCTCTAGTGGGAAACATTACAGCAAACTCTGAGCTGTGTCTCCGCCCTGTGCTTAGTTCTGCCAAACCATTAGTCATCCTTCCTTCATAGTGATCTTTGTAAGACATAACTGTGGAGATTTAGGTCTCCTGATTAAAAACCCTTTGTGATTCTTGTTGCCTTAGGAGCTCCTAAAATGTGAAGTGTACTGTTGGTGATGATTCCAGCGGTGCTCAGGGAGATGTTTTAATTTAATTAGTTGTATTTATTTTAATTTATATTCATAGGTACTTCTTCTTTATATCAAGTGGTAAAGCTTTTCTTCTTATACAGTGAGATTTTTAAGGGTTTTTTTTGTACTGGGGATCGAACTCAGGACCTTGCGCTTGTGAGGCAGGTGTGATGCCACTGAGCTAAATCCCTGGCCCGAGATTTTAAGTTTTAATGAAGTAAAACTGTCCGTTTAGATAAAATGTTAAGTAAATAGTATGCAGAGGTAGCAGAAATTGTGAAGGTAATATGTGAGAGTAAATGAAGTTTTGGGATCTGCAGCCTATGAAATAAACTTGACCTATTCATGACCTAATCCCATATTTCACCTAGATTTTTGTTTCTGTTTCTCTACTATCCTGTACTATTCCGTGAGCAAATTCAATGTCTTTCCTTACTCTCCATCTTGAAAGGTCTCTCTTCTTCTAGTAGCATTCTGCTTATCCTTGAAGAGAAAGGTTGCATATTAAATTTTAGTAATATCCTCGTGGTTTAAGTATAGGAGAGAGGCTTCAGTATTTTTACCCTGAGGATAAGTGAAGGAATAGATGAAAGAATGAGTGAATGTCTGAATGTTAGAATGAATAAGTCAATGAATGAGTTGCTGAATTAGTAATGAATTAAGTAAATATTTGAGTGAATGAATGTATCATTGTATATCTTGGCTCTTTCCAGCTGATATTTCACTGCTGCATATAGCAGCAATTCTTTTACATCCTCAGAGATTAGATTTTTTTTGGCCAGTGGAACTGTCCAAGGGATTCTCATAGAACCCTAGAGAATACTAGAGAAGTGGGAAACATGTTCTTGAGATTTCAAACACTTGTATTATCTAAAATGCTTTCTATACCATCCTTCAATTTCATGCTAAAGAATAACAATAGTATTATGCCTGCTATTAATTATATTTTCTGTGAATGTGTTTCTTAAAAATTTACCATGTTTTCTATATTTCAGTATATTTCTGGTGGTGGAATTCTACAAGGTGATTTTATTGATTTTATTTTTGTGTTCTACTTAACTGTCATTAGTTTTAAGAATTGTTTTGTATAACGATGCATTGTTTTCAATTATGACTGGGTAGGGTCATCATCATTACCTTGCTTATCTTCTACCTGGTTTCTTTTTTTTTTCCCCTTATGTTTTCCTACTTTTAAAATTTGGGAGATATACATTATACTTTTAAAATTTGGGGGATATAGTATTTTCTTTCTACTATACAAGATACACCAAGCCAAGGGCAGCTGAGTATTACTTCCTTTAGTGTAGGTTCAATAGTGATACATACAGAGGAAAAAATTAAAGCAAGAAATGGGGTGATGGGGCACCCATAAAGCCTGAAAGACCTGTCTCTGATTTAGTGAAAAGCTGTCCTGGCTTCCCTGCTCAGCTGTGCCTCTGACTATGTGGCTAAAGAATTTCTGGGTGTGTGGGACTGTCCCATGCCTATGTGGTGTTCTCTGGGCCACAGGCATTGCTGTTTTAATTTTTAAAAATTAATTTTATTGGTACATTTTAGATATACATAATGATAACATTCATCATATGGAATTTGTACTTATACATAATATATCTTTATTATTTTTTCCTCCTCTCCCCTCCCTTCACCTACTCTTTCCTTCATTTACAAAAGCTTTGTTTCCATTTTTACTTTCTTTTTTTCCTTTCCCTTTCTTCCTTTCCCTCTCCCCCCTCTCTGTTTCCCCTTCCCTTGAACATTTTCTTCTTATTTCACAATATCTATTAAACATTTTGTCCTTATTTACACTTTTGGTTTCTCACATCAGAGAAACAATGGAATATTTGAACATGTGTGTCTTATTTTACTTAAGAGTATGGTCTCAAGGTGCATCCATTTACCTAGAAATATCTCAAGTTTATCCTTCTTCATGGCAGAGTAGTATTTCATTATGTAAAAAAAAAAAACCATACATCATCTTTATTTTATTTTATTTTTTTACATCTTCTTTATTCATTGGTTAATAGGCATTTTGGCTGTTTCCAAGATTTAACTATTGCAAACTTTGGTGCTATAAACGTAGATATGCATATATTGCTGTGGTATGATGCTTTTAATTCCTTCTAGAAGTTACCAAGAGGGGAAATAGCTGGGTGAAATGGAACTTCTAGCTTTAGTTTTCTGCAGAATTTCCACACTGATTTCCACAATGGTTGCACCAGTCTACACTCCCACCAACAGTGGAGAAGGGTTCCTTTTTCCCCACAGCCCTGCCAGAATTTGTTATTGGTTGATTTCTTGATAACAGCTATTCTTTTTGGAGTAAGATAGAATCTCAGAGTTGTTTTAATTCGCATCTCTAATGACCAGTGATGTTGAACATTTTTTCATTTATTTATATGCCATTTCTACTTCTTCCTCTGAGAAGTGTCTTTTCATTTCAGATGCGCATTTTTGTATTGGGTCTTTAAATTTGGGAGAGTCTGCTTTTTTTGAGTTGTTTATATATTGTAGATACTAGTCCTTTGTCTGAGGAACAGCTGGCAAAATTTTTTTCCCACTCTATGGATTGTCTTCTCACTCCGTGGTTTCTTCCACTGTGAGAAAGGTTCTTAATAAGATGAGCTTCCACTTGTTGATTCTTTGCGATATTTCCTGTGCAATTGGAGTTTTGTTCATAAAGTCTTTGCCTACACATATGTCTTCAAGAGTTCTACCTTTTCTCTCTTTCAGGAGATTTAGTGTTTCTGTTTTAATATTTAGAACTTTGATCGATTTCTATTTTAGCTTAGTACATGGTGAGAGATATAGGTCTAGTTTTAGTCTTTGGCATGCAGAAAGCCAATTTTTCCAGTACCATGTATTAAAGAGGCTATTTTTCTTCCAGTGAAGGTTTTGGCCCCTTCATCAAAGATAAAGTGACTGAGTGCGTCTGGCATTGTTTCTGCATCTTCTAGTCTGTTCTACTGATCCTTTGCCAGTACCATGCTGTGTTTATCATGGTAGCTTTGCAGTGTAATTACAAGTTGGGATTGTGATACCCCCTGCCTTGCCTTAGTTACCCAGAATTGTGTTTGCCATTCCACATCTCTGGTTCCAAATGAATTTTAGGGTTGTGTTCTCTAATTCTGTGAGGTATGGTATTGGCATTTTGATCAAGAATACATTAAATCTGTGTAACAATTTTGGGAATATGGTCATTTTCAAAATATTGGTTCTTCCTACCCCAAAACAAGGGATATCTTACCATTTTCTGATATCCTCTTCATTCTCCTTTTTTCAGACTACTGTAGTATTCTGAATGTAAAGGTCTTGTACTTCTTTTGTTAGATTGATTCCTAAGTATTTCATTTTTTTGGATGCTATTGTGAAAGGCATAATTTCCCTAATTTTTCTCTCAGTAAGTTTGTTATTTGTGTACAGGAGTGCTATTGATTTTTGAATGTTGTCTTTGTTTGCATGTACCTATGCTACTGAATTTGGTTATTAAATCTAGAAGTCTTTTGGTGGAGTTTTTGGGGTCTTCTATGTAGACTATCATGTCACTCATAAATAATGATAATTTAACTTCTTCCTTTCTTATCCTTATTCCTTTTATTTCTTTCTCTTGTGTAATTGCTCTGGGCAATGTTTCCAGAACTATATTGAATAGGAGTGGTGGTACTGGACATCCTTGTCTTGTTCCTGATTTTAGAGTGAAAGCTTTCAGTTTTTGTCCACTTTGTATGATGTTGGCTGTTGGTTTGTCATAGATAGCTTTTATCAGATTTAGATAAAGACCATCTGTTCCAATTTTCTGTAGGGTTTTTATCATGAATGGGTGTTGGACTTTGTCAGATACCTTTTTTGCATCTATTGACCTTATGTCAAATTCTTTTTCCCTGCTTGGGAAGCTTTCTACCATTACTTCTGTGAACAGGTTTTTAAAATGTCATTTGTGCTGTCTCCTTTTTCATTGAGTCTGATCAGTCTTATATTATTCTTCTTTGCATCATCTGGCACCTGTTGGATTTTGTGTGTGTGTGTGGTTCCTTGCTGGGTTTTTTTTCCCCCATTAAGTTTATTGGTACATTTTAGGTATAAAATACAGTTACATTCATCATTGGGATCTTGTACCATTACATGAGTATCTTGG